CATGTCTGACCTAATGATACACACCCGCTGTCTCTCAGTCCGGGACCCATGGGGGACATATCTGTCCATGCATCCATTGCGGCGCGCGATACGACCCTCGATAATAGTAACCATCGCGGCGCGCGATACGTCCCTCGAAATGGTACATCCTCTTTAATTTCTCATTCTTTCTCAATTCACATAACACTTGTCACAACCATGTCTCAAGACAATGCAAATGACATGTTCACAGAAATAATGAGGAGATGACCATTTTCATAACATTGCACAATTCACAATAACACAATTATGATACAACATCAACAATGATTCAACAAACCTTTCAAACCATTTTCAACACATCACCAACAATTAATCACATTGCCTTTTATTACCGCTTATTGATCATTAGAATTAATCAATGTGGACAAGTCAACCCATCATCGAGTCTCATTACCCCCAAACACATATTACAAGGAAATACACGAATTCCATACACTTAACAAGGGTTTAGAAATCGACTTGCCTCAAATAATCGAACAATCACTCCGAGACTTGAGCCTTCCCTTTTCGTTGAGCTTCCAAATCAATGCAATCTATTCAAGTACATAGTCACAATAAGATTCCGAAACTAACAACACTCATGTCACTATAGATTTAGCCTAGACCCAAAAGCTTACCCAAATTTATAATTAAGTTCCTAACTCTTGATGCCCATTAACTTGTCAATTCTTCCAATTCCTTCAAATATCGTAAATCTACTGACATTCACAAAAATACGAACAACAATGACATTATTATTTTCCCAAAAAATTAATTAGGCCTTAACTTATATAGAGTAACAATCTAACTCCTTTAGTGAGCATCCAACTTACTACTTGAAACTGTAGGTAGCATGTATGGAAAATAATTATACATATACTCCTAACAATTCAATTCCCTTAATCCCCAAAAATTGACAGCAAACAAAAAGGAATATAATAATAATAACAATACTATTAGCACCCACCGTTACCATTAATTTCCAAAACAACTCACAACCCATTTTAACTAACATACAACAATTTCACCTTAATTTCCCCAAACTCTTAATGAATTAAAATATTAACTAACATCAAAGAAAAGTCTCATATCCTAGTAGAGTTTCATCCGCCAACCATAGCAATTTAACCAATACGCTCTAGTCCATCAATATATATATATATATATATATATATATAATATGCAACAATCTATACAAGAATAGAAAAAATAGCTTCACATATACATATTTATTTATTTACCTAAAATACTCCTTGTTCCCGCCGCACAAGTTCTCCACGAACTTTTCTTTCGCTTTCGTCCGCTGAGTTCTTGTCTTCTCTTTTTTTATTTTTTTAAATAAAATAAAATTATGACCCAATAATTCTCAACCCTAATAATTATTTTCCTATATGGATCAAGTTGTATTAAACTAATTATAAACTTAACCCATTAATCATTAACTAAAATTAGTTATTTAATAATTAACCATCAATTAGTTCACTCTAGTTAAATGAGTATTCAAAATTTCCAAAAATGACCTTCCGGGTCATTACAATTATATGTTAGCGTAAAAAATATCTCTTCCTTCTTTTTTATCTTTCATGGAGAATATTTTTTTCATTCCCATTTATGTTATTTTTATTTGAAGCTTTCTCTTTTTAACATTTATTGAATTTTAAATCCTTGCTGCGGTATCATAATTTGTGAGCACCTTGAAGAAAGAGAATCTAGAAACGTGAAAGGTGGGGTAGAAACGGGAAAGGTGAAGAAGGAAGGTTAATGGGTATTGGTTTAGATTAAAAACCAATGACATATGTTAAATTTAATGGCTAAGATTTAATTGATTAATTAAAATAAATCCTTAATCATGATTTATATAATAAAAACATTATATGTTAGGGAAAAAAATATCTCTTCCTTCTTTTTTATCTTTCTCGCAGTATATTTTTTCATTCTCATTTTATGTTATCTTTTATTGCATTTTTATTTGAAACTTGCTCTTTTTAACATTTATTGAATTTTAAATACCCATGAACATGGGCTCTTTTTTTTTATAAAAAAAATACATTATATTGATATAAAATTAGAAAAAGAATATCACATTATTCATTCATATTAAAAATACATTTTTCACAAGAAGTCAAAAGTTTATTTACAACATAATCTTTAGTTATAACAATATTTTTTTAAAAAAAATAAGTAAGGTGACATGTGGCGTAACCTTTACTCCTTCATGTTATGGTTTAAATCAATGTTATATTCTTTTTATTATTTTCAAGTTCTTGTTTAGATTAAAAATCGATGACATGTGTTAAAATTAATGGCTAAGATTTAATTGATTAATTAAAATAAATCCTTAATCATGATTTATATAATAAAAACATTATATGTTAGGAAAAAAAATATCTCTTCCTTCTTTTTTATCTTTCACGCAGGATATTTTTTTCATTCCCATTTTATGTTATTTTTATTTGAAACTTTTCTCTTTTTAACATTTTATTGAATTTTAAATACCTATGAACATGGGCTTTTAAAAAAAGATACATTATATTGATATAAAATTAGAGAAGAACATCACATTATTCATTTATATTAAAAATACATTTTCCATGAGAAGTCAAAAGATAATAGAATACTTGGTATAGTATGACAAAATCCCATGTAATATAGTACGTGCTAGTTTGTAACTTTAGCTGAAATTGAAAGACAAAACAGCTTCTCTCAATTATTAGTATATTTCGATGTTATCCTCATTTGTCGGCGGAAAATTAAGTCTGGCTTTAGGGTCGTGATACATCCTTGCTGATGTATCATAGGCCCTTGCAGCTTATTTCGATTTTTGAAAGTACCAATTCAGACACATACCTTTTGGATGGGATTTGTAATCTCAGCTACATACGTCCTCCACGACCTCTTTCTTACACCTTTATATCGCGTCTCGTTTGGTGGTACAATCACTGCTATCGCCGTCACATCACTATTATTTTTCTTTGCTATTTGAAAAAACAAAAAGAAATTTTTTTATATAAAGAAGACTCAGTGAGTGAAAAGAGAAGAGGGAGAGTGATTTATATAGTCATTTCTCATGGGATACATTTAATTTGGTCCAATTATTTACATTCGGAAAAATAATTATTGAATTGTTGACTAAGATTACGTGAACTTTTACTAGAAAAATTCTCTTAAGGTCCTCTAAGTTTCCTTATCAAAAAGAATATTTTCAGTAATCATAAGTTTAAAACCAATCAACAATACTCAAAGGTAAGTGAACCACTAAAAGAGAAATTTATTAATTTAGTTACAACATAATCTTTAGTAATAACAATATTTTTTTAAAAAATAAGTAAGGTGACATGTGGTGTAACCTTGTACCTTCGTGTTATGGTTTAAATCAATGTTTTTATTCTTTTTATTATTTTCAAGTTCTTGTTTAGATTAAAAACCGATGATATGTGTTAAAATTAATGGCTAAGATTTAATTGATTAGTTAAAATAAATCCTTAATCATGATTTATATAATAAAACATTATATGTTAGGAAAAAAATATCTCTTCCTTCTTTTTTATCTTTCATGCAGGATATTTTTTCATTCCCATTTTATGTTATTTTTATTTGAAACTTTTCTCTTTTTTAACATTTTATTGAATTTTTAAAGACTATGAACTATGGGTTTTTAAAAAAAGATACATTATATTGATATAAAATTAGAGAAGAAGATCACATTATTCATTCATATTAAAAACAACATTTTTCTATGAGAAGTCAAAAGATAATAGAATAACTTGGTATAGTATGACAAAATCCCATGTAATACAGTACGTGTTAATTTGCTACTTTAGCTAAAACTGAAAGACAAAACAGCTTCTCTCAATCCACAAGGTTCCTTCATGTATTTTCCTTTTCCGATCAAACAACCAAACAAAAATTCATCTAACAAAATTTGGAAGCGGCAGAAAAATAGAATGAAGGCGACGGAAGTTTTCTAAATTAATATTATAGAAGATACATATACAAATATTGAAATGGTTACAACATGCCACATTCCTATTTACAAACACATTTTAAAAAAAGGTAGAATTTATTTTTTCTTATAGAAACCATCCATCACCTTCTATAATAATGGAGGCATGCGATCTTCGATCACATGTTTCCTGGTGGTGCAAGGCTGAGCTCAAGATTTGGAGGCTCAGCACTAGCGGTTCGAGGCTGAACGGGGCCGACACCCATGAAATCTAGAGTCTCCTTTTGGCTGCTCATCTTTGGATCCGGAAGTATTACTCCAGCTTTCATTAAAGTCTCCAATAAGTCCTTATCACATGCCGTCGACATGACAACAGAAGTTCCTGTAACCGTCTTAAAACGACGAAACTCATTAGGATTTTGATTAAGCAATGAAAAACTCACCGCATCGCTGCTTGATCTAGAAGATGATGCGATATTTCTGCTCTGATTTGGAAGGATATGATCACTCATGACATTATTATGATTAATTTTGCAAAGAAAATCTCTGGTGGTGGTTTGAAGGTAATCCTTAGATACTGGTGGAAAATTAGTTTTGACCGTGTGGCCGCCAAACTTCCTTGCTGCAGTATCATAAGCCCTGGCAGCTTCCTCGGCAGTACTAAAAGATCCGAGCCAGATATTTCTCCTCTGATCGGGATGCCTGATTTCAGCTGTGTAGCTGCCGCATGGAAGCTTCCACACACCCTTAAAATGCACCTCCTCATCATCATCTAAGTTAACTATTGCCTTATTATTTTTCTGTGGCGTCATCTGAAAAATGGAAGTAACCTTTTATTTTGTTTTGGTAAAGAGAAGAATGAGTGAACAAAGAGGATGAGGGAAACTAGTTTATATAAGCATCTCTTAAGAATTATTTAAATGTTTTTTTTTTCGAAGAGAAGAATAAGTGAATAGAGAAGGAAGAGGGAGAGTGCTTTATATAGATGACTCTGAAGGAAAATATATAAATTATTTTAAAATTAGAGGCATTTCGATGTTATCTGGAGAGTGACACATACGTATTTGTATCTTTCAGCTCTTGTAAAACTACATGTCTGGTTGTCTTCTTCTATTTTACTACATGCCACACCCTCCTCCTTCACAAAAAAAGATGGCTACATTTTTTGCATATCAATTATAATAATACATAGAAATAAAATATGATGATGCAAATAGCCATTTTAAATAGTTATCAAAAATTCATATTGGAAAAATGATTATTTAATGATTAACTTATGGTAGTTATATTCAAACTAGTTATGTCAAAGCAAAAATTACGTGAATTTTGTCGAGGTCCACTAAGTTTACTTGCCAAAAAATGTTTTTATTAAACATAACCAAACAAATATATTTAAAGGTAAGTGAATCACTAAAAAAAAAGTCTATCAAAAGAAAAATCACTCAAAAGGAAATTTAGTAGTCTAATTACGACATAATGTGTAGTAACAATGATTTATTAGTACACTGTACACTTGTGAAATTATACTGAATATTATTGATTTAAAAATAAGAAAAGTGACACGTCAATGCTCGTCAGCTGAAGTCGGCAATAACTTGCTTGAAAGAGTTGTTCCACTCTAGTCAAATGATAAAGATTTATTTTTATATCTAACTGCATGTCTTTTTGTCTTATTTATTTCTTAAACATGACACACGTCGTTCTTATACATTAAAGCAACATTTCTTTAAATACATAATATTGTTTGTTTCTTTTTTAATTAAAAAATAAAAAAAATATGGCTTTACTCAAATTTTTGTTTTCTTTTCTCAAAACATTAACCGTGACAGTGGGACAAACTCTTTATTTGACATAGCAATTATTATTTAACGAAAAAATAATCAAAACGTCCGTAAATTATTATTGCAAAAGATATTACACTTCATATCTACTAAGTATTTGATTATAAAAATACTAGAACATAATCGAAGGCTATATTATTGGTATGTTCTATATATATTTTCAATTAAAAAATTATGCTGTGTATTTTTAATGGTCAAATCTTTCTTATAAGTAAGTGTGAAATCATTTTTTAAACCCGCTTGAATAGTGATACTTAATCTGCTTAAATTAGTTCATAATGTGTTTTTTTTTAAAAAATACGATATATATGTTTATTAGCAAAAAGGCATTTTTGATCCAATAAATATATTTTTGGACCAAATTATTAACATTAAGGAACATTTTAAAATTAAACTATTAACGGAGATCATTTTTTGTTCAATTTAACATAATTTAAAAAGATTATTTTAACTTGCTTTTCTTTTTTACTCCATTCAGGAAAATAAGGAGATCCAAAAATGTTTAAGTGTTTTTGTGGGGAACACCAATCAACTTATAAATATTGAATTGTATTTGTATTTTGTAGTTGATAGGTTAAATAAGGTTTTATTGATCTAATATTTATCAATAAAAGAATATTTTGTCTATGCTTAATTAAGTAGATTGCCTATTATATATACGATAAATAAAATCGTTAATTTAGTTGACGCAGTAAATTACATATTATATATAAGATAAATATAATTGTTGTTTCAGTTTAATAAAAAATATGTATATATATTGTTTTACGTTGGTGTTATCTAATCAATAAATCATATATTTCTTTTAAGGTTATATGCATATAGCTATTTAGTTTATCTTTACCTACATTTTGGCATATCAATTACAATAATATATAGAACCAAAATATAATGATGCAAGCATGACATACTAATTTTTCAAATGCGTGACACCTAAAAACTCATCAGCTGAAGTCGGCAATAACTTATTTAAAAAAGTAGTTTCTTGTGTGATCAAATGACAATTAAGGATCCATTTTTCTAACTGACTTCATGTCCTTTTGTTTTTTCCTATATTTTTCACACGGCACGTGTATTCTTAGAAATTAAAACAACATTTTCTTATATAAATTTCAAATAAAAAAATGGATGGCTAAAACAGATGTCTTATAAGGTTTTTCCATGAGGATATACTTTTAAAGATAAATTCTATTTGCATATTAATCTGATAAAAGTATAATTTTGTCGATACAATATGAATAATTAGATTTCGGACTCTATTTATGAGATCTATTAATTATTGTGCATATTTTTATTATTACTACTAGAATAATTAATTTTGAGTAAATCGTCAAAAAGCCAAATCGCAAAATAATATACTCCTACTAAAGTTTCTACTCTCTCCAGGTAGCCCAGCCAAAGTACTTTATATGTGCATAAGAGGATGAGAAAATTAGATACAGAGATGAAAGAGAACGTTAAATATTATGAATGTGTTTGGCGGGAAGAAAAATATTGTTCAATTTTCTCATGTTTGATTGGCTTAAATATTTTGAAATATGTTTTCCAAATCAACTTATTTTCCTTGAATGACTTCCCTTAAAAAAAAGTTAGGAAAACATTTTCCAAAATCATTTTGAACCACACACCTCAACTTTCCATCCTAACTTAAGTCTCGGGTATCGATTCTCAATACTAATCATAGATTCTACTCCTAATTCTCAATTTGAAATCCAAATCTTGACCTCGATTCGAGTCCCAACTCTTGAGTTCCGAATTGAATCGGAGTTGGATCTCGAGTTAGAAGAATTAAAGGTCGAATTTTGGATCAAGTGACGGATCTCGGGTTGAGATCGAGATCGGGGTTGAGTCTCAACTCGGGTGTTGAGGTCGAATTTCAGGATCAGAGTCGTCGACTGTCGGGGTCGGAGTGGTTCTTGGATTAGGGTCAGGTGTCGAGGTCGAGTCTCGAGTTGGGGTCAAGGACATGTCTCAAGTCGAGGTCGTGGTCAGGTCTCGGGTCGGGTGTCAGGATCGAGATTGAGGTCGCGTCAGGTCTCGAGTCAGGTGTTGGGATCGAGGTCAGGTCGCGGGTCGGATGTTTGATTGATGAGTGGAAAAGTTTTTCATTCATCAATCATGCATACACTAGAAAATATTTTCCACTCACCAACCAAATATGAGAAAATAAGTTGGTTTCTAACTTATTTTCCAATAAAACATTTTCCTTCATACCAAACACACCCTACAATTTGAATAATTTTCTTCCTACTAATACGTGATAGTCCTTTTTAATCATTCGCTATATATATTGAGGCTGGTTCGTCAAATAAAACTTTTCATCATTTACTTCTATCATTAATCCCAATTGAATCTGCGTCATTTATCACTTCGCACAATGTAATACGGTAACGATAGATTTGTTTATATTTTTAATTGTTGTTAATAGAAGGATGAAAATTATTCTCTTTGCTTAATTAAATGTTAAATGGGGGAATCGAATACCACAAGGATTAAAATCATTATAAGACCATATTAGATGGACGAAAACAATTATTTTCCCTATTATAATTATCATATCAAGAAGACGAGTTTAATTAGGCATTACATGAATATTAACAAACATGTCTTACATTGCTCAGGAATCAAAGACGATATTAAGAGAAATAGATGAAAAAATGTCTATTAAAAAGTGGATGTGTCGAGCAATTAAGCAATATTTTTTCTTTTGTGAATATAATAATCAGTAATTGCTAATCAACCTATATATCAACACATGCTTACCATTAATACCAATGGTACGTAGTGTAATTGTACTAATGTTTGTAATCAAGCTAAGAAGTCATGAGATTAAATAAAGAATAAAATTTGCAATCCCTTTCAATTCACTCAAGTCTATATCACAGAAGACATTAATTCATCAAATAAATAGTTGCTTCAAAAATTCAATAATAAATCTCATCTATGCACATCATAAAAGTTACTTCCTCTATTCAATTTCACGTGAGTTCAGCTAACTGTTATTGTTTAGGGTCAACTAATTATTTTTTTCTTTTTCTATATACAATTTTCTCAAACATTTAAAAGAATATTTTGAATCATAATTAACTATGATTATTTGTAGTTTTTTTTTGTATAGTTTTAAAATATATAAATTTTATTTTAAATTTAAAAATAATAATTAACTACTTAGATTTTATCACATTTTCATTCACAAAACACACACTTTTCATGAGAATTCAAAAAAACACTTGAGTACTTAGTATAGTATGGCAAAATTAAGCCCCATGTACTCTACGTGTTACTTCCTTATGTCTTTTCCGTTTCCAATCGAACAACCAAACAAAAATTCATCCAACATAAATTGAAAATCTAAAAAAAAAAAAAACATGAAGAACGTATAGAAAATTTCTAAATTCATATTACATGAGATCATACACAAGAAATGATTACAACATGCCAAATTTTTACTCTCAAAAATAAAAAATATAAAGTGCATCGCCTTCCAAAAATGATTTAATTCTAGGATTAAATAAAGAGAAAATGGCCAAATGACCCCCTAACCTATAGTCGAATTCTCAACTACACACTTATATTTTACGGAGGTCCTATTACCCCCTTAAACTATTTTAAAGCGGAATATAAACCACCCTAAATCTACACAACCACATTCTTTCCATGTAGTGTGCACCACGCGTTGCCAGTTGTCAAATATCACACATATAATAATAATAATAAAAAAAGTAATTATATTTCTTCTTTTTCTTCTTCATTTTCTCCTCTCTTCACTTTTCCCAAGTCATGCTTCAATTTCTTTACATGTAACTCCTCAAAACTTTTATCTCTCTCCACCCCATTCCTCTCTAATCACTCCCCACCCCCACTCCATCCTTCTATAACCCACAAATTAAGTATCAATATTCATCAGCAACACCACAATAACTATTTTATTAACTATTTAAACCTCCATTTTCACCTCTCCCACTCAAATT